CATGATTCATTAAGTTGTGACTTTTCTTTCCATCAGTATGTTTAGTAGAGGGTTTTGATGTAACAAACAGTATTATGGGACTTAATCTCTGTGACCTAGAACAAGAGCAGATGAGATACTTAGAATAAAAAGACCTCAGTTATTTGTTAATACAAGCATTGTATAGAGAACCAGTTGCCATCACAACTTTGCTTGGGGCTGCCCATAAAATTTTGATAGCATCAGAGGAAATATAATTGCATTCTGTTGGGAAGATTAGAAGCCCTCTTTGTGTTTCTATAATCATCTGGGGAGTATTTGTGCTGGAGGAAATCACTGTGACCCATATCACACAGTGCTTCACTGTACAACAAAAAGGAACAGATGGAAGACAGCAGGACATGAATAGAAGCAATGAGGTCTAAAACCCACCTTTCCACTATCTTTTTTTATCACCGTCTGGGTAACTGAATAGAAATGAGATTTAAAATCTAGTTGATCAAAACTTGGGTCATGGATCCAACGGCACTCTTATACTACAAGAAAGTATTGTTTTTCCAGCATCCCCTTCTCTAGTACCCCATGCATTAATCCAGGATAGATCATATTCTCTCCTACGTTTTTTTTTTTATGTCTTTTGTAGCTCTTTTGCAACTAAACATATTTGTTTGTTTGTTTGCTTGCTTATTGTGGGACCATCTCATCCCAAAGGGGTTGGCCCACCTCACCTGCACTGATACAGAAGACATGCTACAGGCCCCATTGGCCAAGGTACTCCTACTGGCAAGGTCCAGGAGAAGACACTTCTCTGTTTTTGGTCCTGCCTTTTGGAACATTTTGTGCCCCAGAGGTCAGTTCCAACCATCCTAACCTTCTGCAAGAGCTTAAAAACCTGACAATGCTGGTTAACTTGGGGTTCCAGTGGGGAGGGGTTCACATTCAGTGTGGATGACAGACTAACAACACATCCCACTTTCTCCCCTGCTCATCCTATTCCCTCCCCTCCCTCTTGTTTAGATAGGGTTGAATATTTATCTTTGTATGTTATCTAGCTTATATTTTCTATAGCTTTTGTAATCTTTTTAATATTATAAACTACCCAGAGTTACTTTGTGGTAAGATGGGCAATCAATATTTTTTTATTATTATTATTCTATATTTTATTTTTAATTTTATTTTATATTTAATATTATTTAACTTTATTAACCTTATTTTTTATTTTATTTTATTATTTTATTTTTAAATTTATTTGCCACCTATCTCGCTACAAGGAGACTCCTTGTTCTGACTCATTTATGGTGAAGAATAAACCTTTTGAGAATTCCTCTGTAGACCTAATTTTTGGGGTATCTTAAATGCTGATGCCATCTTTTCATTCTTGTGCATATCTACAGGTAGGCTTCTACTGAAACACCTCCAATAAAGGAAAGTCCATCCCCTCCTCAATCTCAAAGTCACTTTGGTCCATATATTTATTTACCTTAATTCCATTTCATTCTTATCCAACTCAAAGCCATGTACAGTCACCAATAGAAATTTGTATATATTTTATAATCGTGAGACAATGAACAGAACAGATCAGAACAGAGTAGAATAGAATAGAATAGAATAGAATAGAATAGAATAGAATAGAATAGAATAGAATAGAATAGAATAGAATAGAATAGAATAGAATAGAGCTGGAAGGGACCTTGGAGGTCTTCTAGTCCAGCCTCCTACTCAAACAGGAGACCCTACACCATTTCTGACAGATGGCTGTTCAATCTCTTGAAAGCTTCCAGTGATGAAGCTCCCACAACTTCTGAAGGCAGTCTCTTCCATTGGTTGATTGTTCTCACTGTCAGAAAATTTCAGACTAAATTTGAAATCTTTCCTTGATCAGTTTCCATCCATTATTCCTTGTCTGACCTTTGGGTGCTTTGGAAAATAGGTTGTCCCCCTCCACTCTGTGACAGTCCCTCAAATATTGAAAGACTGCTATTATGTCTCCCCAGTCCTTCTCTTCACTAGACTAGCTGTGCCCATTTCCTGTAACCGTTCTTCATATGTTTTAGCCTCCAGGTCCCTGGTCATCTTAGTTGTTCTTCTCTGTTTGCATAACTGCTCGTTATTGCCAGGGGCATGGAGGAGGGTATTGGTTTTACGCTTTGTATGTTGGGGTTTATTTTTTTTAAGCTGTCCAGAGTCACCACAAGTGAGTTGGTAGACATATAAATTCCCTATAAAACATATTTGGCTACCAGATTTTACCTGGGAAAAATGATTTTGAAGATAGATAGGTCCTTAGCTATATAGAGATTGACGGGTGATCAATTTGAACTACATCGAGAAAAAAACCAACAGACTTAAGGAGTGGTGCAGCATGATAATACCAGATCTGATCTAAACAGACAGAAGCAGCCAATCTTTTCACTGGCTGAAGTGCCTGGCTAGTCTTCAAGGGCAGCCCCATGTAGAATGAATTATAGTAAAGTAAAAAAAAAAAAACATGCAGTGACAAGGTAAGCATCATTATCCTCAGCATGCCTCATTCTAGGAATGGCTTTTCAAGAACTATTTCAAACATACTGTCAAGCTGCGAAGATTTTGTCATTAGGCCCACCGTACTGCTTCTAGCTTGCTTACAGTTGCAAGGGGAGGGGGGAAGAGCTTGGGATCTGCAGGTGTGAGAGCCAAGATCCCCGAAGAGATATTTTGGCGAACAGAGGACTTCTTCTCAAAACAAATGCTTGAGGAATAATTGGGCAATGTGTCCTGAGCTGTCGGGGGTGGGGGGGTGGGAGTTTTACTCTCTTTTAACTACCTTTTTCCTGCCATATTGTCAGAGCTAGCTTTTCTTCGACTGTGCCGGTATGCTATGCCTAATAAAATTTACATTAGAGATAACCATGTCTCTGGTGTGTGACTTCATTGGGCTTTTCAGCCGGAACTTGACATATACTGCTAAAGAAGTTTCCTTTCATTTGGAAAACCAAGGGTGATTCTCTCTGCATGTTTTCCTATGGATGATTTCCTATCATTGTTTTACCCAGCACTGTAAATAATCCTCAACAGAAAAGCTCACAAAAATTAATATGTTTTTGCTTGAACCCTGGTCAACTGTGCAGCGTAGTCATTAGATCAGGGCTCTGCAACCTTGGCAACTTTATAACGTTTGGACTCCATCCCCCAGTTCCTCAGCATGGCTGACTGAGGAATTCTGGGAGTTGGAGTCCAAAGTTACCAAGGTTTTACTTTGTTCTCATGTATATGCAACAAAAAACAAAAAAATGATAAGTCCCCCAAAGGGCTGTTTGATTTTATACACTTCTGTTTGTCATGGCTATGAGGCCAAGGAGGGCAGTACCACTGCTTTTGATTGCTGTCTATCATTTATCACCTTTCAAGGAGCACATGTAGCTTAAGGGATGTTATGGACGTGGGTGACTTTTGCTCCACAGTTATGAGACCACAGTCATACACCTGTAGACATTTTGTATATAATTACGTGGATTGTATGTATATGTTTATTTCTCTTTTGTCATGTTCTCTTTATATGCTAAATTAATAAATATGATTTCCTGTTTTATCAGAATTCTCCGAACTGAAATATCCAAAGACTGATAAGTCAATAGTTCTTTCTCTGAGCAAGGAGATGAATGGAATGGAACTAGATTATTTGATTCCGTTTCAGGTTCTGTTTTTCTATTATTTTATGGAACTACACATCAGCAGTACTGTTCCGCTTTTCATGTTAACCAAGCAGCTGGTCTTCTCTGGAGGATTTATGAGTGGTTATGGATGTGATTTTCTCTTGCACAGTAATACACATTTGTGTCCTCAGTATTCAGGTTTGTCAGTTGCAGAAATGTGGTGCTGACGGAAGTGTCGACAGTGATGGTGACTTGAGCTTTCAAAGCTTCATCATAGAATGTCTTAAAGTTGTCTGCCCTAATAGTACCCACCCAGTTCAGTCCTTTTCCTGCCTGTTTGATCCAGCTCAAACTATAGTAATAATGATAATAAAGTTGGAAGGGACCTTGGAGGTCATCCAGTCTGACCCCCTGCTCAGGCAGGAAACCCTATACCATTTTGGGCAAATAGCTGCCCAGTCTCTTCTTAAAAACTTCCAGTGTTGGAGCATTCACCACTTTTGGAGGCAGGTTGTTCCACTAGTTAATTCTAACTGTCAGGAAGTTTCTCCTTAGTTCTAGGTTGCTTCTCTCCTTGATTAGTTTCCATCCATTGCATCTTGCCCTGCCTTCAGGTGCTTTAGAGAATAGCTGGGCTCCCTCTTTGTGGCAGCCCCTGAGGAACACTGCTATCATGTCCCCCCTTGTCCTTCTGTTCGTTAAACTAGACATACCCAATTCCAGCAACCGTTCCTTATACGTTTTAGCTTCCAGTCCCCTGATCATCTTTGTTGCTCTTCTCTCTGCTCTTTCTAGAGTCTCAACATCTTTTTTACATCGAGGTGACCAAAACTGGATGTAGTATTCCAAGTGTGGCCTTGCCAAGTGGTATTAATACTTCATGTGATCTTGATTCTATCCCTCTGTTAATGTAGCCCAGCACTGTGTTGGCTTTTTTGGCAGCTGCAGCACACTGCTGGCTCATATTTAGGTGATTGTCCACTAGAACTCCAAGATCCCTCTCACAGTTATTACTATTGAGCAAGGTACCCCCTATACTATACCTGTACATTTGGTTTTTCTTGCCTAAATGTAAACCTTACTTTTTTCACCATTGAATTTCATTTTTTTAGATAGCACCCAGTGTTCAAGTCTGTCCAGATCCTCCTGTATCTTAAGCCTGTCTCCTGGAGTGTTGGCTATTCCTGCCAGCTTGGTGTCATCTGCAAATTTGATGAGTTCCCATCTATCCCCTCGTCCAAATTGTTGATGAAGATGTTGAAGAGCACTGGGCCCAGAACAGAGCCCTGAGGCAACCCACTACACACTTCCCTCCATGTAGATGCGGTTCCATTGAGGACCACATGCTGAGTAGTCAGTGAAAGTATATTCAGATGCCTTACAGGTCAATCATATTGATTCCCCAGGTGTTTTTATTTCTGGACCAGACTGGATAAATTGTATTTCAGATTGGATCCCTGTTGAGAAGGATGAGGATGAGGAGGAGTTGTTTAAACATTCTAATATGTTTTTCTCTCTTTTTTGTCACCTAGAATTAATATGATCTAATAATTTAGTTATTTCACTAGTTCTGTATTGAGCAGTCCTCATAGTCAGCAAAGGAAAATATGATGTCCTTCAGCACAACATGGCATCAGAATGAACAAAAGCTGAGTTTGTGGTTTAGGAATATACCTAATTGAATATTTTGTTTTATTTGATATATGTATTCTTGTTTTTTCCTTTGTTTTTAGTTCCTTTGAAGGTTTGACTGCCTGGATCATTATACTTGTACAGAATAAATCCTTCTGTCTATGTTGCCTTACCTCCCAATCAAGCTACCAGTAGGAGAGGATACAACCAGGAAGACATGATTGTAATGAACTAAGGAAAAAAAAAAACAGGATGTTGTCAGACTGCCCAGCCATTTTTTTTATTATTTATAAATATCTGGGGGAGGAAAACTAGTCTTTTTATTTGCATATAGATGATTTAGGATAGTACATAAGAAACTAAAACCCTATGCTTGCCCCTTACTGCATTTGCAAGATGTACGAGCTCCCAGTCACAGTGAATAAATGGCACACCTGTAGAGATGGGGGCCAGGTAGAGGTTGTGAGCAGCAAACTGCCCTTCCAATGCCTGCGTAACTCTTCTCGCTACATGATCTCATCCATTCACATCACCATGACAATGTACCAGGCTGGTACAAAATATCACCTGGTTCACATGATATCAGCCTGGTTACATCAACAGGATGTGGTAGAAACTGCTCCCTGACTGGGGCCTCCTGGCTAGTACATTCTTAAGGATTGGTAAGGGGTTTCACCAATAGAACTGCTGTTGCTATGCTGATGCCATCTTACTTTATGCTATTTGAATACCTGTATATAAGGCAATAAACCAGTGGTTCTCAACCTTTTTAATGCTGCAACCCCCAACCGGTCGTAAGTCGAGGACTACCCAACCAGTCGTAAGTTGAGGACTATCCAACCAGTCGTAGGTCAAGGACTTTCCCTGCCCAGGAGCGCTGCACATGCATGGTGCCGCCCCCTGTGCCATATGAGGCGTAGCTGGCAAGCGACAGAGACAGCGCAGGCTGACCACCAGCTGGGCCACCAGCTGGCCCAGCCCAAGGGGGGTAAGGCACCCGCCAGGCCCCACGCGTGCCAGCAACCCTCCCTATGCCCGCCGGCCTCCCACCTCCCACCCCAGCCCTCTTTTACTTACATTTTTAGTAGTTGCTCAGCAGGGAGGGGTGGAAGCTTCCAGACAGCTCGCCTTCGCTGCAGACAACTTGCAGCACCGTTTGCAGAATGGGACTTTTGGCGGGCTCAGCAGGGCAGAGACAGCCTGGACAATTCCTATTGGCTTTTGAAAGCCAATAGAATTAGACTCTATTCAAGAGAGTCTATTATATTGGCTTTCAAAAGCCAATAGAATAAAAGGGAGTAGCACAGCTAAGGAAAAGGGGAAAAAATGGCGGACTGCGTTGTTTGGCGACCCCCGTGAAATGGTCATTCGACCCCAAATGTGGACCTGACCCACAGGTTGAGAACCACTGCAATAAACACTGCGAAAGCAGTCAGCCATATTTGTATCCTGCAATGACTGATTCCTACAAACACCAAGGATTTAGATATTTTTATCTTGCCTTTCACGTCCCTTGCTATATTATTACAGCAAAGCAGCCAGTTTCCTCCTGAGGATTTATGAATGGCTATGAATGTGGTTTTCTCCACTGTGTGCCTTCCACAATAATACACAGCTGTATCATCAGTGTTCAGGTTTGTCAATTGCAGAAATGTGGTGCTGATGGAAGTGTCCACGGTGATGGTGACTCGAGCTTTCAAAGCTTCAGCATAGAATGTATTAAAGTTGTCTGTCCTAATAGTACCCACCCAGTTCAGTCCTTTTCCTGGTGCCTGTTTGATCCAGTTCATCCTATAGTTAGTGAAGTTATATCCAGATGCCTTACAGGTCAATCGTATTGATTCTCCAGGCCTTTTTATTTGTGGACCAGACTGAAGAAACTGTATTTCAGATTGGATCCCTGTGCAGAAGAAAAGGAGAAGGAGAAAAAGAAAAGAAAGAAAGAAAGAAAGAAAGAAAGAAAGAAAGAAAGAAAGAAAGAAAGAAAGAAAGAAAGAAAGAAAGAAAGAAAAAGAAGAAGAAGAAGAAGTTGTTTAAATTTTCAGATTCTGATATTCTTTATTTTCTAATGTTTTTTTCTCTCTTTTTGTCATCTAGATTTAATACAGTCTAATAATTTAGCTAGTTCTCCAGTTCTCTATTTAGCAGTCATCCTCCCCAGCAAAGAAAACTATGATTCCCTTCAGCACAACATGGCATCAGAATGGAAAAAAGCTGAGTTTGTGATTCAGAAATATACCTAACTGGATGTTCTCTGTTTTATTTGATATCTAGATTCTTGTTTTTTTTTCCTCTTTGTTTTTAGTTTCTTTAAAGAGTTGACTGCCTGGATCATTATAGTTGTACAGAGGAAATCCTTCTTTCTATGTTGCCTTACCTCCCAGCAAAGCCGCCAGCAGGAGGAGATACAGCCAGGAAGACATGATTGTAGTGCGCTAAGAAAGAAAATAATAGGATGTTGTGACTCTGCCAAGTCAATTTTTTATTTATAGATATCTGGGGGAGGAAATCTAGTCTTTTCATTTGCATATGGTGGTATAAGATAGTACTTAAGAAATATTGTTTTCCTCCTAATACAATTGCAATAGTGTATGACTATTCAGTGAAAGCCAGTAAACAACACACCAAACATCTGGATATTGCCTTCAGCTCTACCAGTTTTATTATTGCAGTTCATTGCATAGACACCCAGATGTTTAGACTTAACTCGGCATGTTTGTCCAGCTGTCAAGTCCTTCCCAAAGACCTGGGAATAAGCAAATGTTGTTTCATTGTGTTAAACATATTGTTGCCAGATGTAAGCTATTCCAAGTAAAGCTGTTGTCATGTTTCCAACAGATAGGGATGAATAATGCAGAACTCTGAGGCTTACAAATTCCTCAAAGAACATGTTTATTAGTGACAAAGTATTGGCACAGTCAAGAGTGAAACTAAGTCTGGTGATACAAGTAACAATTTCCCAATACAAAGTTAAAAATCACACCCATAAAACTATGCAAGCAACTACATTCCCCAATATGATTATTTGGCGGGCTTTTTATGCAACGCCTAGCCTCTACTCTTGGGAGTAGCCAAGGACCTTGATTCCCATGGGACAGAATATTATTATGACTAGATGTTGAGAATTTGGAAAAAATTCAGAGAAGAGCAACTAAGATGATCAAAGGCCTGGAGACTAAAATATACAAAGAACAGCTGTGGGACTTGGACTTGGCTAGTCTAAAGAAAAGAAGAAATATGGGAAAACTAGTTCTCCTAGAACTAAGGAGAAACTTCCTGACAGTGAGAACAATTAATCTGTGGAACAACCTGCCTCCAGAAGCAGTAAATGCGCCAACACTGGAAGTTTTTAAGAAGAGATTGGACAGCCATTTGTCCGAAATGGTGTAGGGTTTCCTGCCTGAGCAGGGGGTTGGACTAGATGACCTCCAAGGTCCCTTCCAACTTTACTACTATTACTATTACATGATGGCAGTATTCCAGTATTTGAGGGGCTGCCACAAAGAAGAGGGGGTTAAATTATTCTCTGAAGTACCAGAGGGAAGGACATGAAACAATGGTTGGAAACAGATCAAAGAGAGAAGCAACCTGGAATTAAGGAGAAACTTCTTGACAGTGAGTACAATCAATAGTGGAACAGCTTGCCTTCAGTAATTGTGGACGCTCCATCACTGGAGATTTTTAAGAAGAGACTAGACAACCACATGTCTAAGATGGTATTCCTGCCTGAGCAGGGTATTGGACTAGAACAGAGGACCCCAACCTTTTGTGGCACCAGGGACCAGTTCCATGGAGACAGGTTTTTCCACTGACCAGAGGATGCATGGTTTTGTGTGCTGCCAGCATCCCATGGGTGGGGCTTTGCTTGTTTGTGCAGACTGGTTGCTGACATGCTGCGGCCCGGTACTGGTCCACAGACTGGGGGTTGCAGACCCCTGGACTAGAACATCTCCAGGGTCTCTTCCAACTATCTATTCTATTCTATTCTATTCTATTCTATTCTATTCTATTCTATTCTATTCTATTCTATTCTATTCTATTCCTTATTTCCATTCCATTCTTATTTCTATTCTATTCTATTCTGTTCTGTTCTGTTCTGTTCTGTTCTGTTCTGTTCTATTCTGTTCTATTCTATTCTATTATTCTATTCTATTCTAATTTCTATTCTATTCTATTCTATTCTATTCTATTCTATTCTATTCTAATTCTATTCTATTCTTATTCTATTCTAACTATTTTATTCTAATTCTATTCTATTTCTATTCTATTATAATTCTATTCTATTCTATTCTATTCTATTCTATTCTATTCTATTCTATTCTATTCTATTCTATTCTATGGCAATGCCAACCTGATAATGAAAGATCCAGAAACAGTACCTGGTTGAAAAGAAGCTCTTTCCACCTTAGCAGGAAGGAAAACTCTAACAGCAGAAAAGCAAAAGATCAAAGCTCAAGATGGAGAATGTACATAAGGCTCCCTTTTCCAAAAAAAACTTGTTAGGTGAGTTGGGCTAAGAGACAAAATTACTCTTTCAGCCACTTTTCATATACAAACCCAGTGCCTTCTCACTATAATCATGTCCTTGCTAAAACAATAGAACATAATTATCTGTTAGAGATCCAAATGATATATTTAAAGCTGTGCTGTTGTGATTCTATTTTCATTGAAGTGAATCCAAATGAAACGTTCCCTTTGCCACATAAACTGTAAGTTTCAGAACAAGCTCAGATTCATTTTCTCCACTGTGATTCCTTGTACAGTAATACTTGGCTGTGTCTTCAGCTTTCAGTCTGTTCATGTCTAGATAAACCAGGTTCCTGGAACTATCTTTGGAGATTGTGAATCGACCTTTAAAAGAATTGGCATAATATGTGTTGCCTGTCTTTATCCGTGAGATCCACTCCAGCCCTTTTCCATCTTCCTGGCGGACCCATTCCATCCAGTAACTATCAATACTGAATCCAGAGCATGTGCAAGTGAGTCGAAGAGTGTCTCCAGGTCTTTTAACTCCTCCACCTGATTCAGTTACTGAAGCATCTGCCAGAACATCTGAGAAGGAAGACACACAGAGATTTTTGATGGATTTGTTGAGAAATTCAACTCACAATATTTCGGAACCAAAAGAAGAGTTCCTTTAAAATTGAGACAATAAAGATGACATGCATGCAAATAATCATTTTAATGAAACTTTTGAAGATTAAAAAATATAGGGTGATTTGTTGGGGTGCCTTTCAGTTTTCAGTTCTTTTGGGTGATTATAGTTCTGCAAAAGATATATTTCTTTCTATGTTGCCTTACCTCCCAATGAATCTGCCAGTAGGAGAAAATACAGCCAGGAAACCATGATTCTGATCAGCTAAAAGAAAATAACCAGATGTTGTCCATCTACCAACTCAACTTTTTATTTAATGACTTCTGTAAAGGAAATCTAGATTTTCAATTTGCATATGGATGGTATAATAGCATTGAAAACCGAAAATCAAATTGAGTAGACCATCAGTATCAATGCTATATGAATCTTACCACATTTCTAAATTCAAAAGTAAGCATATATTTATGTTTAGCAACTTTACTGAAACATAATTTAAGTGTTCATTCCTAGTTAGATTTATCTACTTTCTTCTAGGAGCTTATGATGGCATGAACATAGTTCTTCATCCAGTTTTAATTCGACATAATGGCATTTCTGTATGGTAGATTAGGTTGAGAGATATTGTTTACTAAAAAGTGGATGGACTTGTATCTTAAAGAAGAAGAAGGAAGAAGAGATTGTTTCCATCCTTACTTTAATAGCCACCAATGGCAACACAAACAAGCATTTTATCAAATTTAGCTTTCACTTCTCAGTCACTCTTGGTGTTTAGAGTTGAACAGCTGTTCTTTCTTATTTCGGTTTTGGATCAATGGATTTATAAAATAGTGTAGGAATTGGAAAGAGTATTTTGTCCATTTCTAACACCATCTTGAACATTCTGAATACAAGGAATGGTATATTGCATGAAATATATATTAAAAAGTCCCATTAAATTTAAATGACAAGTTTAAATCACTTTTTGGGGGGGATGGCATATAATTCCATTTTTTTTCTTGTAAAAATTTTTATTTTCAATTTTACAATACATAACGATCTTACAAATACTTCAGATAAAAAACAAAACAAATTGATACACACCACATTCGGTCTTGCCCACCCATTTCCCCCCAAACCGCATCCCACCTCAAACCAACTTACTTCTTTCCCTCTTTTTCTTCACTCACCCCCTCTCCTCCTTCACCTCCACCTTCCTACTTACTTCTCACCTTCCTCTTCTCCCTCTTGATGCGGTCCAGGGGAAATGCCCGAGCAGTTCCTCTCTCAAAATTAAAACATTAATATTATATACATATAATATTAATGTTTAAATCACTTTATAGCTCAACTGGTGAAGAAAACAATTTATCCCAGTGATTATATATTGTGACAACAGCAGATCCTAGCTGGTCTAATAAGTGAGCACTCTGAGAACTCTTTGGATCTGGTGGCATCTAGCTAACATCCAGCAATATTGAGTATTTCAGTTGGCCATGAAGGGTGTTTACGCCCATTGCTGTTTAGAACAATCTAGGCTAGGCAAAATAGATCAGAGTGACATTTGGAAACACAACAGTTTGTGTGCTGTTCAATTTCACTGTGGGCACTACAGTAATAGAGACCGCTGTCTCCAACTGTCAGCTGCCTTATCTCTAAAGAACCAATATCCCGGGAATTATCCCTAGAGATGGCAAATCGATCTCTCAAAGACTGACGTACGCTTGATCTACTGCCATCCAGGTTGCTTTCTCCTATCCATTTAATTCCTTCGTCGCCGATCTTGTATGTCCACTGTATCCAGTATTGAAGAAAAGAGGAGATACCTTTACAGGTTAAAGTTAAAGTTTCTCCAGGAAGTTTAATTTCTGAGGTGGGCTGGGTCAGAATTTTCTGGAGCTCCACAGCTGCAAATCAGAAAGTGGGGACAAGATTACAAAATCAGATTAGCATCGCCCCAATTCCTTTAGTAAATTCCATTTTACAGCCATTTTATTCAATTGTATGTAGCTGCTCTCATGCCAAGTGGAGCAGAATGACTGCAAAATGATCTGAATCCAGATGTTCCAAATTTCAGAAATTACTGCTTGCCCATAAGACATTAAAGCTTCAAAAGTGATGTCCAGCATCCTAGTTTATTAACAATTCATAACTTTGGAACCACCATATAATAGGATGATACATTGGCAAAGTAATATATTCATAGGATTGTTGATATGAGAGACGAAAGAAGAGAAACTACTAGCTGTTGGATCCAAACTATGAAATGGAAAGAGTGAGGAAAGAAAATAATTTTTGACATGCCAACATCATTCAAAATGTCAACAATACATTAAACCTATTAATAAATAAATAAAATAAATAAAAAACAGGAAGACCTGGAGGAACGTTGTCCATGGGGTCGCAATGGGTCGGACACGACTTCGCATTTAACAACAACAACAACAATTAATAAATTATTAACTATGGTAGACTCATTCAAAAGCCTCTGGAAATGATGCAGAACAAAGCAACAAAAAAATGATTAGGAGGTTGGAGGCTAAAATATATGAAGAACGTTTGCAGGAATAGGGTATGTCTAGTCTAGAGAAAAGAAGGACTAGAGGTAGACTGATAGCAGTCTTCCAATATTTGAGAAGTTGCTGCAAAGAAGAGGAGGTCAACCTATCTTCCAAAGGACCAGAAAAGAAAAGAAACAATGGATGGAAACTAATCAAGGAGAGAAGCAACCTAGAACTAAGGAAAAATTTCCTAACAGTGAGAACAATCAACCAATGGACTGGCTTGCCTTCAGAAGCTGGGGGTGCCCCATCACTGGAGGCTTTTAAGAAGAGACTGGACAGCCACTTGTCTGGAATGGTATAGGGCCTCCTACTTGAGCAGGGGTTGGACTAGAAGACCTCCCAGGTCCCTCCCAACTCTGTTATTCTAGTAAAATAGTCAATCATATCCCCATCATTACAGGTGATGTAGGTAGGCATTGTTAGTTAATTGAAGAAATATAAGATTTTCCTTAGTCCAGTGGGGATATATGGAAAAATATATTTCCTCCTTTTCTGGAAAATATATTTCACTTACCAAGGAAGCTGTTCACCAGTATAAAAACTGTTACTAAAATGTTCATGATATTGTATCTATGAGGCCCCCCCCAAAAATTAACAATGTTCTTGGAACAGAGAACATTCCAAAATGTGCTCAAGAAAAGATACACAAGTCTCATATAAGATTGATGAAAGGAAGAAGGATTTGCATAGGGTGGCCTATAATAGGGCACAGTTTACCTGACTCATGTTCAGCTGTTGAAACCTCAAATTCCACTGAGCATTAAAGAATAGTCACTGCTTAAATGTGCAGAGTGGCAAATAAGTCAATGCTGATTTATTTCAAATTTAATCATCTTTTTAATCTCAAATTCTGCTTACCCCATTCCCACAGGAGTTTGATTATCATTTTTTTCTGAAAAAGAGGTCTTTTTGCAAATGTTAAAGAGGGAGGGAGGGAAGGAGAGAGAAAGAGAGAGAGAGAGATTAAGACAGAGATTATTGGTGTTTTCTAAATGAATGCATTGTTTTACATGAAATTAATCTTATGCAGTGATTATCGAGCATTATTTCCATGCCTGGAATAATAATAATGATAATAATAATGATGATAATAATAATAATAATAATAATAATAATAATAATAATAATAATAATAATAATAATAATAATAATAATAATAAAAGTTGGAAGGGACCTTGGAAGTCATCTAGTCCAACGCCCTGCTCAGGCAGGAAACACTATTCCATTTCGGACAAATGGCTGTCCAGTCTCTTCTTAAAAACTTCCAGTGTTGGAGCATTCACCGCTTCTGGAGGCAGGTTGTTCCACTGGTTAATTGTTCTCACTGTCAGGAAGTTTCCCCTTAGTTATAGGTTGTTTCTCTCCTTGATTAGTTTCCATCCATTGCGTCTAGTCCTGTCTTCAAGTGCTTTGGAAAATAGCTTGACATATGCATTTTTTTCTCATTGGGTTTATTTTAAACTAGAAATAAGGAGAAATCTTCTGACAATGAGATCATTCAACCAATGAAGCAGTTTGTTGTGAGTGCTTCATCATTGAAGGTTTTGGACAGCCATCTGTCAGAAATGGTATAGGGTCTCCTGTTTAAGTAGAGGGTTAGATTAGATGACCTATAAGGTCCCTTTCAACTCTGTTATTCTATTATTAAGTAAAGAGTTGCACTTCAACTTTTGTGAATTTTAGTTGATGTTTTGAATCAGAATAGACACTATAATCCCAACATAGCTTTGAAGGCATCAACAAGATTAACAAGGAATGCCTGATTAGTACTTTAGAGGAAGAAATCTCTATATATCTATAACTATAGCAACAGCTGCATCTATAGCTACCTATCTCTCTGTCTATATCTACCTCTATGTCTACATATATATGTCTATATGTCTGTACCTATCTGTATCATCTATATCTATGCCTGTCTATATTCATAGACGTCCCCGAATGACTTTGCTTATCAAAGCTGGCTAGAAAGATTACGGATAGTGATCATATGTCCCTGGGACAGTGAAATGGTGATAAATATTGCATATGCCAGTTGCCAAATTTTCGATCACATAACTGTCAGATTACTGCAATAGTTTTAAATGTGAAAACTGGTCATAAGTAACTTTTTTTAGTGATGTTCTAACTTCGAAAAATCATGAAACAAGTGGTTGTAAGTCACAGACCACCTGAATATATTTATATATATTATGTCTGTGTCTATGTCTGTGTCTGTGTGTCTCTCTCTGTGTGTGTCTCTGTGTGCACCCATATCTCACACAAGTGTCTCTGGGTAGCTTTCAAGACTAAAACAAGCAACTCCACCAACATCTCTTGACACCCAAGGAAAATTTTTTGTCCCACTCACCAACTAAAACAGAACTCATCCACCCTGACCCAAGTGGCAACACATTTATCCCAGAAGTATGACATTAAGATAGTGTGCCAACCTCTTCTCCCCTGCAAAGCATAGATCAGGCATGTGAAACTTGCGACGTCATGTGACTTGCGCGACATATCAGGACTTTTTCCCCATTGCCAGCAATGGGGTGGACGCGGTTTTGGTGTGACACAGCTGGCCCGTGGGCCGGTAGTTTGGCATACCTGGAATAGATACTCCCACAAGATTTCAACCATCTCAAACTAATCTGTGCTTCCCAAACTGCAACTGGATAAAGTTCTTTTAGTCATTGTGTTTGCCCACTACTCCATAAACAAACATGGTGTGGCAAAGCATTAGGGAGTAAACCTTTAAAAAATGTGTCCATCGAGCAAAAAACATTCCACTTTAGCTTGTATTATATGCCTATGCAGCATAATTTTACAGAAGGAAGGAAGGGAGGGAGGGAAAGGGAGTCAGGAGGGAGGGAAGGAAGGAAGGAAGAAAGAAAGAAAAGAGAGAGAGAGAGAGAGAGAGAAAGAAAGAAAGAAAGAAAGAAAGAAAGAAAGAAAGAAAGAAAGAAAGAAAGAAAGAAAGAAAGAAAGAAAGAAAGACATGCATATTCACACAATTCTAATTAGGTCTCTCTGGGCTATTAAGATTTGCTTCAAAACTCATTTGTGGCTTAGGGAAGTATGACTAAAAATATACCAGAGCTGTAAAGAACCCACTGTTATGCAGCATCATGGATGGAACCATAACATTTAAGTAAAATCTATATATTTTCTCCTTTTTTGCAGGTTATGGGGCACAGTTGGCTGTAGCCCTCTATTTTCTTCCATCTTGCAGAGTGCCTTGAGTTTTGAACTCCTTTCTTATATGTGTGTGTTTTATTTTCTTTAAATCTCAGAAAAGCTTATTGTTGATGGAAAGGTGGAATTCTGTATGATAGAGCTTGGAAAAATTGCCTTTTATTCTGTGAGTACACTTCATCTTCAGCACCTGAACAGTATTTCTTTGAAAGCCAGATTTCTATTGCTTATTTGACTTGACTATTACATTTGCAGGTCCCCTGCTTGGGTGGGCAGGGGGTTAGACTAGATACACTTTTCTAGTTCTTGATTTCTGATCATGTCTATCTTGTTAAGATACAGGAAATCACAAACGCAGAACAATTCAGGAAAATCATTTATTTATTAATTTTATCAACTCTGTATATATTTTGATTAATTTTGATTAATTGTATTAGGGCTTGGGGACGAAGTGTGCAATATTTAAGCATCGCAATTGATTTTCTACTGCAGATATTTTATTTTAGTCATTCTAAGCTGCCACAAGTCTCACAACTGTGAAGGATGGGGAGAACCAAAATTAAACAAACAAATAGACTAAGTTCACACAACATCTTAACATACCACCCTAAAAAAAAAAAATCCTTCCTGATGTTAAAGCACATCGAAGTTTTATGTGTTTTCTTTTCCTAACCTGACTTAGTTTACGTCTTTAACACAGTCACTTACCAACCTATGAAGGTTTGATCAAGATCTGGAAATCTTTGTAATATTAATGCCCTTCTTTTCCTAAGGAGATCTCTTCCAGACTCTGACCCCCTCAAAGAGTTTTTAATTTAAAAACTGATCTTAGTAGTACAATGAAGGCAGCAAATAACAAAACAAAAACCTAACACTTTTTAATGCCATCTTCTTTGCCTCTGTCAAAACATGTTTCCATATCCATCAAGATAACATGAGAAATATGGAAGCAAAATGCAAGAGATTATAATACTGGCTCTCCCAGAAGGAAAGTTTTTCCCATAATTATAACTTGTATGTCATTCATAGGATGGGTGGACATTCTCTTCTTACAGATACTTTAAATTTTTGCACATTATTTTATTTGTGGAATGCATGTTGATTTTGGTCCTTTATTTATCAGTTTATCAAATTTTTATCCTGTTATAATCTAAACTGACTCTCGGGAGTTTAAAGAAGAGTAAAACACAAGGTGATAAATACAAACAAAGCAAGTAGCTAAAGCATCTAAACTTACTGAAAACAGATGTGGTGTCCTGCTCTATATGGCTCCTATATGTATTTAAATTATATACAGACACATCGTATCTTAAAAGAACTTGTGTGAGATGGTCAAAAGATTTAAATATTTGGCGATCATCCTCAATATTTTAATCATAATCTTTTCTGTGTAGTGTTATCCCTCAGAGGCCGCCAAAGCACAGACCCTCTTAATCCTCCCCCTTTATTCCCACTCAACAGCTGTGCTCTCAAGGCATTGACAGAATGTCCAGTTTTAGTGGAGCTCGTATGGAATGAAGAGATGGCAAGTTCTCGTCGTCAGAGGGGGAGTTTTCAGGAACAAAGGTGACTGACCCCTAAGCATGGTGGTCAGTGCATAACAGTATTTAACAGCCTCAGACAGTCATAGCAATAATAGTCAATAGTCCCCAGCAGTCATTTGAGAAACAAAAGGGGTGTGTGGAAAGAACTCCCTGGCTTCAATCAGCAGCAGAAACCATGAGCAGAGATAATCAACACCTCGCAGTCACAGCTCACTCTGCTAGGGCAACTCCCCACAATGTTTATAGCATGAACAGCTGATAGTGATCAACGTTTGGATGGCCGCTGGTTTCCGAAGCAGTAGCGGCTCGCCTCCTCTTCTGTCGGGGCCCGTTGTCCCAGGTCTCTCTCTATGCCAAATCTAGTTAAAACCTGGTTCAGCACCCCAGGAAACTCCCTCACTGTCACTTTCTCTCTTCCCCTTGCTTGGGATATCCCCTTGTAAAAGAAAGCAATAACCCCCCCTCTCTCTCTTCCTCTCCTCCCCACTACTCCAAAGGAGAGGAATCACCTAAAACTCCAATTCTCTTTGGCTTTACCTGGTCTCTCCCCAACAGCAACAACACCCCGTCCCCTTTTTCCTTCTCCTTTTCTTCCCTTCCCCCAGTCTACACCCACACACCGAAACTAGCAGCAGCTGTCTGAGCTTTCCACTCCCCTCTCGTTGGCCAGGCTCCCGCAAAGCATTTCGGTCAGCCTGCTACATCTAAAATTCCCCATTTGGCCTTTCTCTTACTGGTTTATTTCTACATATTTTCTTGTAGCTTCTGAAATCGTTATGAATTCACATGAGGTTATATGATGTCATTCGTTTTGGCTTTCTTATTTTGTTTTTTCCCTAAATATTTTTTTCTACTTTGTGTGATCCCTGGGCTCCTATTTTTCTTTATTGTTTTTCAGCACATCTATATTGTTAGATTACTATTCATATTCTATAATAGCAATAGCGTAGCATTTAGACTTATATTCAGCTTAATAGTGCTTTACAGTCCACTCTAAGCAGATTTACAGAGTCATCCTATTGCCCCCAACACTCTGGGTCCTCATTTTACCAACCTCAAAAGGATGGAAGGCTGAGTCAACCTTGAGCTGGCCAGGATCAAACTCCTGGCTGTGGTCAAAGTCAGCCTGCAATACAACATTCTCCAGCATGATTGGATGGAGAACCTATGGATGGGTTGTCTTAATCTATCTGCTCCAATTAGACTAAGTCTGAAATTTAGTACCGCCCCCTCTGTGCCAACTTCACCCCAGTTTTAGACTTAGTCTCTTTGCTCTAAGACGCATTTTTTCTTCGCTTCTGGAGCAGAAGACTGTGTATTTTCCCTTTTTCTTATTCCTGTTAGCTTAGTTCTAACTCCTCATTTTCATTAATTCATTAATTTCATTAATTAATTTCATTAATATAAAAAAAATTTCGATCAAACTCCTGGCTGTGGTCAAAGTCAGCCTACAATACAACATTCTAACCATGGCTCTATTAGAAACTGAGATTTCTATTAGAGAGAAATTCATTCGGTGGTCTGGTTCAATAGACAAATATTTAAGAATTTCTTGATTGAAAGATTGTAAGCCACCCAAGGTTTTGTGAGTTGGCTATTGAAAGTGACAGAAATGAATATTGTATAAAGGCCCCTGATGTACCTCACACAAATGAATGCCCTAAATCATTTTAATTTTCTAATTCAATCGTCTAACCTGTGATTCCATATTTTATGTTATAAGCTGCATAACTGTTGACATATGGGCCCAATCTAGTATCGGACATTTTCTTCATTTGAAAAGAGGGATGACCAATTTAAATAGGATGATAAAATAACCAGCATGTAATTTTTATCCTCTCGTTTGTCCTTGACAGTTATAGGCAAAAGATATCCCTGCAAATGTATCAGATAAATCAGACTGTGGTCACTGAGTTTATCCTGCAAGGGTTTCCAGGCTCGGCTGAGTTGCAGAAATATCTCTTCGTCCCGATTCTTTTTATCTACCTCCTCACAATCACTGGAAACATCCTGATCATTGTCATTGTTGCCCACGATCCTCATCTCCATAATCCCATGTACTTCTTCTTGGGGAATTTTTCTTCCTTGGAGATCTTCTATGTCACCACCTTGTCACCCAAGATGTTGGCTCACTTTCTAGCAGAGAAAAAGTCCATTTGTTTCTACTGTTGCATCTCTCAAGCTTTTTTCCATTTCTTCCTCGGAGCCACAGAATTTTGCCTTCTTGCTTCAATGTCCTTTGACCGCTACATTGCCATCTGCAAACCATTGTATTACAACAGCATCATGAATTTCAGACTTTGTCTCCAACTAGCCTTGGGATCATGGTTGGGAGGGTTATTCACTGTCATTGTCCAGATGGTTTTATTATGTCTGCTCCCATTTTGTGGTCCCAATATGATCAACCACTTCTACTGTGATGTGACCCCCTTAGTGAGTTTAGTTTGTGCTAATACATATCTGCTTGAACAGATGGTGTTATTGGGATCAGTCCTTCTTCTGTTCAGTACCTTCCTATTCACTGCGATCTCATATAGATTGATCATCTTCACCATAATGCGCATCTCTTCGTCTTCAGGGAGACAGAAGGCTTTCTCTACTTGTGTTGCCCACCTTACAGTTGTATCCATCCAGTATGGAACTGTAATGTTCATGTACGTTAAGCCCAATGCCAACTCTTCTTTGGAAATAAACAAGGTGGTTTCTGTACTTAATACCATTGTAACCCCTCTGCTCAACCCTTTCATCTACACTCTGAGGAACAAAGATGTCAAAGAAGCTTTGAAGAAAATGATATGTACTAAAGATAAAATATTTCATTGAGTGTAATAAAATATACTATAAAATTAAAGTTTATTTTGATTTGATTCCCAGATGGGATAATGGAGATTTATTCTTCCCCCCAAGATGCTGACATTCATTAGATGCATTTTCAGTAGCTTCATTTTGGCTACAATCCTCCTGTCATGGTCAAACTGAATTTTTTTTCTTAGAGGAAAAATCATTCTATGAGGTGGTTCAATAGACAAACTCTCTATTGTCAAACTATATTCTTTTCCACTTATGAAAATTTCATCTCTTATTTAGAGAGGTCAGCCTGCTTGGTGTGATATCCAAATGGTAATGCTAGTTTTCAGTCTGTCGAGTTGGACTTTTTGTACAGTGATCTAGTTGTACAATCTACTGAATTGTGCTTTTCAATCTATTGAATCTATTCAGAGACATAGATCATGTGAAGTGTTAGTACTGCTTTAGTACTTGGAATACTGCATCCAGTTTTGGTCACCACAATATATAAAAGATGTTGAGATGCTGGAAAGAGTGCAGAGAAGGGGAACAAAGATGATTGGGGGGGGAGGCTGAAAAGCATATGAAGAATGATTGCAGGAATTTGAGATGTCTAGTCTAGTGAAAAGAAGGACTAGGTGTGACATGATAGCAGTGTTCCAATACCTGAGTGGCTGCCACAAAGAAGAGATCAAAGCAGCAGAAGGCAAGACAAGAAGCACTGATTGGAAACTAACCAAGGAGAGAAGCAACCTACAACTAAAGAGAAATTTCCTGTCAGTAATATAATATAACTATTAATATAATATTAATATAATTATTAATATAATATGTTATACAGTAACTATATAATAAAACTCTCCTTGGTTAGTAACCTACCAAGGAGAGAAGTACCTAGAACTAAGGAGAAATGTTCTAATGGTGAGAGCAATCAACCCATGGAACAGCTTTCCTTCAGAAGTTGTGGGAGCTACATCACTGGAGGCTTTAAAAGAAAGACTAGACAACCATTTGTCTGAAATGGTTTAGGGCCTCCTGCTTGAGCAGGTGGTTGGACTAAAATACCTTCAATATCCCTTCCAACTCTGGATGAAGAAGAAGAAGAAGAAGAAGAAGAAGAAGAAGAAGAAGAAGAAGAAGAAGAAGAAGAAGAAGAAGAAGAAGAAGAAGAAGAAGAAGAAGAAGAAGAAGAAAGAGGAGAAGAAGAAAGAGGAGAAGGAGGAGGATGAAGAGGAAGAGGAAGAGGAGGAGGAGGAGGAGGAGGGGGAATAAGAACAAAGTCAGAAGGGACCTTGGAGGTCTTCTAGTCCAACTCCCTGCTTAGGCAGGAAACCCTATACCATTTCAGACAAATGTTTGTCCAATCTCTTCTTAAAAAGTTAAAAACCTCCAATATTGGAAAACCTACAACTTCATCCCATAGAAAAATGTAACACATTTTCTTTCTCATTTAGAAGTAAACAGCCCATCCTGCGTTCTAAAAAATGGTGGTGGTGGTGGTGGTGGTGGTGGTGGTGGTGGTGGTGGTGGTGATGATGATGACAATGATGCATTAAATCTTGAAACACAATTTTAAATAATTTAAATTCCGCTTTGTCTTGTTTTGGGCAACTAAAGTCTCCAAGGGTTTCCTTGGTCCCCCCCCTCTAATGATTTGTTCTCCTTGGTGGAATAATTAGAAAACATTGAAATATTTTTTTCCCTTGGTGAAGAATCTGTATTTTCATTACTGAATACAAACTGAGTACAGAAATTAGGGATGAGGCATAAGAACATCTATTTGGGACTCAATCATGCATCAACCTAACATCAGGAACCAAATGATAGTCTATAAGAAATATGTTTTGTTTCCTTCAGTTTCCAATAGAAGTTTTCAATAGAGGAGAGACTATCTGAAACTCAGGGGTGAGCTATGGAGTTCTGATTCTCTGACTTTGATTGTTGGCTTACCACGATTGTATTATTCATCACTGGGTTACAAAGACTAGATTATTTGCCTAAGTTAGCTTATGAAAAAGAGAAATAACATCCAATCTATTGCTTCATGAATTAAACTGAGCATCTACTCAGGTGAGTATTTTGTCTTCTTTTATCATTTTTTGTGAATGATTAGTTGACCACATTCTTGCAGAAAAGAGGTAATCTAACTAAAATTATAATTGTGTATAATAAATAAAGTTAAATAACTGAGTTAAATGTATATTCAACCCCATTTTTCATAAATTTCTCTGTAAGCAATTGAATGCGAGTTAAATGATAATAGTAACACATTAAACTTATTGATTAATTATTTTATTAAATTATTGAAAAGCTTTGCACTTCTATATCTGTAGAGAATTAAGTTGACCTTGATGGAACTATGGAAGTTCCATTTCTAAGACAATGAGGGGTTAAATAAATGTTTTAAGTCCACAGTGAACAGATAACATTTAAAAGTAGATCAGACAATTGATTCCCTAATTCATAATAAAGAGAGGGAGATCCAGCACAGTCAGACTAGCAGGATTCTGTTGTTATAGCCAAATAGAATAAAAAAGAGTTTTAGTAGTCCTGCAAGTTGATTTCTTGGTTTGGCCTATCTAACGGAGCTGACTCTACTTAATCAAAGATGGAGGGAAGGGCTTTAGCTGCCCTTATATACATCATACATGTATGCTTGTCTGTTTTTCTCTCTCCCAATATAGATTGCCAGAGAGAATACTAAATCTGGCAGACTCCTTTCCATTGGATGAAATCAAGAGAAAACTGAACGTCCATCTTTCTGAAATGCTTTGATCTGGATTCTTGAACTGAAGAACAGGTTGGACATGAAAGTCCATGTGGCATCTTCCAATTTCTGGAAAGATACCACATAAAAGAAGGTCAAGTCGTCTCCTTTCTCTATCACCCCATAGCTCACAAGATAGACTAATGGATTCAGGTAACATGGAAGGTAGATTTTAACTGATTGCTAGGAAAAACACACAAAAAGTAAGAGCAATTTAACAGAGGAAATCAGTGGGGCAGAGAACTCCCCTTCACTTTCTCTTAAGAAGACCTTAAAATTGCCATGTCATAGAGGTGTGTAGATACCAAGTTAACAAAGATCAATGTAGAAGAAACAAAATAGGCACATAGTTTGATCAACATTTTCTTCAAATACCCAAGAAAAAATGGGTAGAGAGATTCATGTTATAGAAACTACAGAACAAAACTTTATGTTGCAGAATTTTTAAAATAAATCATCTTTATTCTTAAATATTATCTTTCTGGTCCATACATATTTCACTAAAAGCTCTGGAAAATGTAAACACATTTTTTTATTCCTACTGAACTTGGTTCTAGGTCTCAAAAAGTGGACCCTGCACCTTTGGGAAAAATGTGATGATGTTGATTGAACTTGCTTCTAGGCCAAAGATTTGGGTTGGTTTGGGTTGGCTGATAAAGCATCAAGCTGTAGAATAATAATCTTGATGAATCATCCCTCTGATGCTGCTCAACAATTATTCTGTTCTTGGATGAATAGGTTTGGGATGAAGAACCAAACAGTTGTGGACGAATTCATTTTACTGGGATTTCCCAGCATCCTAAAAGTAAGATTTCTGGTGATTGTGGGTGTCTTGATGATCTATATCTTGACTGTCACTGGGAATATTGTCATTGTTGCAACTGTGGTTTATGACCCTAATCTCCATAAGCCAATGTACTTCTTCCTCAGCAACCTTTCATTCTTAGGAATTATGTATGTGACAGCTACAATCCCTAAATTTTTGGTCAATTTACTCACCATCAAGAAATCTATCAGCCTGACTGGTTGCAAAGCTCAAGCTTTTTCCCACTTTTTCCTTGGGGCCACAGAATTCTTCCTTCTGACTGCTATGGCGTATGACCGTTACATGGCCATCTGCCACCCCCTTCATTATCACGCAATCATGAGTAGCAGAGTTTGTGTTCAACTGGCTTGTGGATCCTGGTTTGGTGGTCTGATGACCGTTTTGGTACAGACCATCCTAGTGTTCCAGCTTCCATTCTGTGGCCCCAATACTATCAATCACTTCTATTGTGATGTTGGACCATTGCTAAAGCTGGCTTGCACTGACACTCATCCTATTGAATGGATAGTCTTTGTGGTTGCCACCATCGTGGTGTTCAGCAATTCCCTCTTGACGGTGGTTTCATACATCTTCATAATCTCCACTGTGATGAAGATCCCATCCATTTCTGGAAGACAAAAGGCTTTTTCTACTTGTATCTCTCACTTAATCGTTGTTATTCTGTTGTATGGGGCAATTATTTTTATATATGTTAGACCAACTGGACATGCTTCATTAAATATGAACAAGGTAGTCTCCCTTCTCAATACTTTGGTTACACCATTGCTCAATCCTTTTATTTATACTCTCAGGAATAAAGAAGTTAAAGATTCTCTGAAAAGAGGATTAAGCTGGAATAAAGTATTTAAGAAGAGCCACAAATAAAGTTTTTTTTTTTAAAATGGAGACATGACTGACTAAAGTACTATGGAGCACCATATCCCAAAGGTGCTTTTTCATGAGGCAACTGGACTTTCTTGTTTTTCTTTGAAGACGTTTTGCTTTTCCTCCAAGAAGCTTCTTCAGCTTTTATACTTTATACATTTATACTCCTTGCAAACAGCTGGTCATTTGCCTTCTTTTATGGAGTCATTGAGGCCACCTGGAGGTTTATCTGTGTCATCAGGGTCATCTGAGTAGTGCAAATGGCTGTGGAGCCTTCTTGGAACTGCTGAAAGGACTGTGATATAGACTGGAGATAGATGATGTCGGATCCCTCCCCCTCTGTTGAGAGAGGGCTGTTCAGTTTTGACCTAGATGGCCTCTTTGACCCTTCTTTCAAACTAGTGATCCTTTCTGTTCAAAATGTGGACTTTGCTCTCTGCGAAATAGTGGCCATTGTCTTTCAAATGCAGATGGACTACTGAATCTTGTCCTGATGGGTTTGTTCTCCTATATTGTGCTGTGTGTTTATGAAGTGGTTGTTTTGTTTCCCCAATGTACAGTTCTGCATAGGGCTCTCTGCATTGTACTGCATATATCACATTGCTCAGTTTGTGTCTGGGTGTTTTATCCTTGGGGTGGACAAGCTTCTGCCTTAGTGTATTCCTTAGTTTGAAGTGTGCACATACAGTATGTTATGTTGGCTGAAGATCCACCTGAGCTTTTCTGATATACCTGCAAATATGGAATGACAACATTGCAATATTTGGGCGTACACAAATTTCTCAATGAACTGGAGTTTTTTTCTTTTTTTGAAAGAATACTGCATTCTAACCGCTGTGCCATCACGGCTCATATTGAATGATTGAATTGAACAGATTGATTGAATTGAATAATTCAATCAGTCAATACTGAATAATTCACCCTACTTTCTCAAATCTTCTATACAAATGGTCTTTTCAGGTCCCATCATGGCATATATAACATGAACAATCCGTAACATTTTCTCTCTGGTGGAATCTATGTTGTAGAATAAATATGTTCAGGCTGACCACATTTTAGGAAAGAGTTCAAAACAGATGTGGTTAAAGTTTTAGAGTCTTATTTTGTCCCCTCTTTGTGATTTTTAAGGTGTGTGTGTGTGTGTGTGTGTGTGTGTGTGTGTGTGTGTAAAATTCTTTTTGGACAAACCAGTCTGATTGAAGCATCTTGGTTTTTGTAACTGCTAAACCGCAGTTTTACTATTATGATCACGTTTGCCTTGCAGCCCCAGCCTAGAAGCGTTAAGCAGGCTCAAGTCGCTACTGCGATACACAACAAATTCAAATTTCTTTTTGTTGACAAAGAGTTAAAGAACTAAATGGGAGACTAGAATAGCTATTTCAAGCTTTTTAGCTCTCATCAGCTAACCATACCCTTATCCTCCAGGGCAACTGTCCGACCGCTTGGGGTCACCGGGCAGAATGAAATCGAGCTAAGAAGCCAGAGCTCCAGCTTCTTCCACCCATTTCGTCAAACTCCAAACCAGATGTTTTTAATATATTTTTTTAATTGCTACCTTTTGGCATCACTTTGCAAGGATAAGCCCATGCATATTGTCCCTTGTGATCCTGAAGTGAGGATGGCCCTAGGGAATGTTTAACTATAACTCTCTAAAGTTCTACACCATCCAGAGTCACTTTCTTTGAGATGGATGGCCATATATACAGGTAGTCCTTGACCTACGGCCACAATTGAGCACAAAATTTCTGTTGCTAAGTGAAACATTTGTTAAGGGAATTTTGCCCCATTTTCACAACCTTTCTTGTCACAGTTGCTAAGTGAATCATTGCAGTTGTTAAGTTAATCATATGGTTATTAAGTGAATCTGGCTTCCCCAATTGACTTTGCTTGTCAGAAGGCTGCAAAATGGGATCACATGACCCTGAGACACTGCAATTGACATAAATATGAGTCAGTTGCCAAGTGTGAATTTTCATCACACATGGTATAGGGTTTTCCTCACCCATGGTGTCAACTTTGAAAATGAGCATGGCTGCAGCCACTTTCCCTACTCATTTTCAATTGACCCATAGCAGGGAGGGAGGGGGGTTTACCAGGTGCTTCTCTAGACTACACAGATTTTCTCCCATGGGAACCAAGGTCATTGGCTGCTCCTGGGACTGCAGGCTGTGCGTTTTGTGAAAAGCCTGCCCAAGAAGATGTATTGGGGAATGTAGTAGCTTGCATAGCTTTAGAGGTGGGATTTCTTAACTTTGTATTGGGGATTGTTATGTGTCCATTTAGACCTGGTTTCATTTTTGATGTGCCGATACTTATTATCAATAAATATGTTCTTTGAGGAGCTTGCAAGCCTTGGAGTTCTGCTTTATTTGTTTCTGTCTGTCAGAACCATGATACATGGTATAAGATTTTCTTCACACATGGTAAAGGGCCGTGGTGGTGAACCTATGGCATGTGTGCCACAGGTGGCATGCAGAGCACTCTCTGTGGGCACGCGCGCTGTCACCCCAGTCCTAGGCCTTCATCTGGGTTTTATAAAATCGTTTCACTTTAGGCCTCTGCCACCGTGTTAAAAAAAAAAAAGCTTCAATCAATCAATTTCAGCTTCTAGATCTCCCAAAGTTGGAATTGATTGATTGAACTTTTTAGTCCCACCCAGTCTTCCATTAACACCGTAGCCATGCCCACCCAATGAGCCATGCCCATCTGGCACCCGATGATACATAAGTGGGTTTTGGGTTGCAGTTTGGGCACTCGATCTTGTAAAGGTTCGCCATCACTGGTATAGGGTTTCCTGCCTGAGCAGGGGTTGGACTAGATGACCTCTAATGTCCCTTACAAATTATTATTATTATTATCATCATCATCATCATTATCATTTTTACATGAGCATGGGGATGCTGCAACAGTCATAAGTGTGAAGAACGGTTGTAGGTCACTTTTTTCAGTGCCATTATAACTTTGAACAGTCACTAAATGAACCATTGTCAGTCGATAACTACCTGTATTTGATAAAATAAATATGCTTTTGGTAGACAATATGGAAATGGCCATAGGTTTCTTATGGCCATTAGTTCTGGCCACTTCCTATAATTTCCACTGAGAAATTATAGCCAAATTTGTCTCCTTCAAACTTTTCCTATCCACATTTTTCTTCCAACTGCTTGATAATAACCAGAGGCAGTTATCTCTAAGTGGGAAAATTCCCAAGAGAAATTATGATTAAGGAAAGTTTCCATTACTCTGAGAGCTCTTAAACAAAGTGAGTTATCCTATTGTAATTAATCTTAGGAGATTTTGATAATGGAATCTTTCTTTTAAGAAATGGATGACACATTAATAGTTGGATCACTCTGAAATTTCCAGGAAATATATTCTACATCAAGCCAATAAAGATTTATTGAATTTTGTAAATGAAGACAAAATTGTTCAGAATGACATATAGAACAGTACATTACAAAAGAGATATTGATATTTATTATATTAATCAAGTTTGAAATCATATTAATTTTAGTGATAAACACAAACTGTGAGCAGCTATTGTAAAAATGCCATTGTTTTGTACATACAAATAGATACAACTGAAAAGTATTGGTTTGCTGTGGCAGCTTATGTGGTTTTCATAAATTAAGGTAATGTCTTCTGAAGGTTGTACTTCTGATACAATGGTTCATTAAGTGAGACCAAAGCAGTGTTCTTGAAATAAAAGTTGCAGTTTATGGGTTATCTTGCAAAGTATAGCCAACGAGAGTCACAATATCAACATGAAGAGCCAAGGTGGACCAGTGGTTAGAATGCAATATTGCAGGCTAATTCTGCCCAATGCCAGTAGTTCAGTCCTGATGGGCTCAAGGTTGACTCAACCATCCATTCTTTCGAGGTTGGTAAAATGAGGACCCAGATTGTTGGGGATAATATGCGATTCTGTAAACCTCTTACTGAATGCTGTAAAGCACTATAGAGCGGTATCTAAATCTAAGTGCTATTGTTATTGGTATCAGAGAGATGGATAGCATAAAAAATCAATCAATCAATCAATGTTCTAAAGATATTTCTTGCTTTTCTTTTCCTTAAAAGTTCAGGTGTTTGAGGGGAGGGACTTACTTGCCTTAAATAACACAATTTCTTTCCACTTGACTACAATGATATGATTTTATGGATGGACCAAATCAGTGGTCTCATCTAGATTCCCCTTCCATCTAATTTGATGTACAAGCAAAAAAGATGCAATGAATTAGAGGTAGTTGTTGTTCAATGACTGTCTGAAGTTACAATGGCACTGAAAAAAATGACTTATGACCCTTGCAGCATCACCATAGCTACTGTATGTGATGAAAATTCAGATGCTTGGCAACCGGCATGTATTAATGTCGGTTGCTGTGTCCCAGGGTCATGTGATAACCTTTTGCAAACGTCAGACAAGGAAAGTCAACGGGGAAGCCAAATTCACTTAATAACCATGTTACTAACTTAGCAATTGCAGTGATTCACTTAGCTGTGGCAAGAAAGGTTGTAACTCAACTGTCTTGTTGTAAATGTTGTAAAATGGGGCAAAGCTCAACTGCCTTGCTTAGTAGTAGAAATATCATGGTGTTGATTTAACAGCTAACCAGCTTATGTACTGTACGATTTAAGATGTAATGATGGGGATGACTTAGCAGGGTCTGTGTCTCTTTAAGAGCCTTTGTATAAAGAGAAGATTCCACCGATGTGTTCTCTTCTTTCCATTTCCTGCTTTAACTGTGGTTTGCTGGATCCTGCTATATTAGTACATGTATATATATTGTTCCTGGTGTATGATATTGTAGATATTGTAAGATAAACCACCATTTAATATAGACCACTGTTTACTGTGTTTATTCCTGTGTTATCTCATGCAATAAGACTGCACATTCTAACAGGAAATTTTGGGCTCAACTTTGGCCGTAAGTCAAGGACTACTTGACAATGAAACAGTCCCCCATTTCATTTCAATGTACAAGAATATTTCTGAGCCTTCTTGAAAATCTCAGTAAGTCCCACTTTAATTTTTTGATGGGCTAGACAGAGTTATCTTCAAAAAGAAAGTCCTTCTAATTAATCTGCCTTCCCAATAATCAATCCCTTTTTTTCAGCTTGACTAGTTCAGATGACTCATTTCCATTATTTCAAAGT